TAGGTTGCTTCCAGGTTCTGGCTATTACAAACAATGCTGCTATGAATATGGTTGAACATATGTCCTTGTTGTATGAACATGCAGTATTTGGGTATATACCCAAGAGAGGAATGGCTGGATCTTAATGTAGACTGATTCCCATTTTTCTGAGCAACCGCCATACTGATTTCCAGAGTGGTCTTACAAGTTCGCACTCCCACCAGCAATGGAGGAGTGTTCCTTCTTCTCCACATCCTCTCCAGCATAGATTGTCATTGGTTTTTTGATTTTAGCCATTCTGACAGGTGTGAAGTGATATCTCAGAGTTGTTTTCAGTTGCATTTCTCTGATGGCCAAGGATTTTGAGCACTTTCTTAAGTGTCTTTCAACCATTTCAGATTCCTCTGTTGAAAATTCTCTGTTTAGTTCTGTACCCCACTTTTTAATTTCATTGTTTGGTGCAGTATGTGAAATTTTTCAAAGAAATTTTTTTTAGTTTTTTTTTATACTTTTTATTTTTTTATTTGTTTTTTGGAAGTAACAATGACATCTCCTTCTGAAAAATAATTTTATTAAGAGAATTTAGCCAAGATTCTTTTATGCAAGCAATTTGGTATCTGAGATTTTTAAAAAATTACTAAAAAAGGAAATAGCAAGGTGGCTCTTTGGGCAGTGGTGGTGCACATCTGAATCCCAGCACTTGGGAGGCAGAGGCAGGCAGATCTCTGTGAGTTCAAGGCCAGCCTGATCTACAAATCGAGTTCCAGCACAAGCTCCAAAACTACAAAAAGAAACCCTGCCCTGTCTCAAAAAAAAATACTATTCTTAAATTTTTATTTTTAAATATTCTCTCTCTCTCTCTCTCTCTCTCTCTCTCTCTCTCACTTTCTCTCTGTTGTGTGTGTGTTACCGTGTGTGTGTGTGTGTGTGTGTGTGTGTGTGTGTGTGTGTGTGTGTGTGTTGGTGTGCAGGAGTCAGTCCTCTCCTTCCACCTTGTGGGGCCCAGGCTTTGAATGCAGTTCCTCAGTCTTGGTGGCAAACATATTGACTCACTGAGCCATTTTGTCGGCCCACGTTTTAGTTCTTTTTGAGAAAGGGACTATGGGAGCCAGGAATTTAGCTTAGTGATAGAGTGTAGAATGTACAAGGTCCTGGGTTCAGTACTTACCTCTGATTGAAGACAGGGAGAAAGAGAGAGACGTTGTAGCCAGGGTGACCTCAAAAATCTCTATGTAGCTGAGGAAGACCTTGAACTCAGGATTCTTCTACTTCTCCAGTGTTAGGACTATAGGCATACACCATCATGCCCAGCTCAGCACTTGGTGCTTAGATCCAAATTCTAACTAACCCTGGCCGTCGGGAGGACCTGTTGTGGTTGTCACTCTACTGTTTTGTGAAGGGTTTGATGAGTTTTCACTTTCATTTAATCTTTCATATTGCAGGAGGGAATTATTTTGTCATTAGCAGCACCAAAAACACCTTCTTCCCACTTTTGAGCTAATTCTGATAAGTGTTAAATTGTTTCTAGTGCTAATGAAAGTATTCTCTCAAAGATCATTAGCATCCTAGGCGGGTCCATTCAATCCTTGCCCTCTGCTTCACCCAGGAGAACCACGTGAACTTGTTACATATCGAGTCCCGGAAATCAAATCGAAGAAATTCAGAGTTTGAGATTCTTGTTGACTGCGACATCAACAGAGAACAGCTGAATGACGTCTTTCCCCTGCTGAAGTCCCACATCACGATGCTCTCTGTGGACTCCCCCGATCAGCTCACTGTAAAGGAAGATGGTACGTTTGAGAAGGCAAAGCCCCACCTCCAAGAACAAGCACCCAATGTGTGCAGTAGTGAAGGGAAAACAAACAGCCACTTATCAGAATACTAGAGAAAAATTATGAGGCAGCGTTTGATGGAGGGTGGAGGAGTAAAAGAAGCCTGGCTTGAGAAGGGGTGGGTCAGAGGTTAATGCTCTCTCCTAGCTCCTCAAGTACTTCCGGATTCCACAACCCTGATTTCTGCATCCCCTCATTCTTCAGAGATCCCTCGGGACTTAGTGTCAGTCAGATAGTAAACAGATATTTGAATTTGGGGGGAACGTTGGCAGTGTTTGACATCTGTGATCTGAAACCTGTTATATTCATTCCCACCAAAAAACAATGGATCAGGCAATATAAAGCGTTCCAAGATTTCAGATACTCAGATTGAAAAGACTGAGGCTAAGATCTCCATTTCTGACAAGAAATCGTTGTAATTTAGTTAAAACAGAAGATAAATGGATTCATTTAGCTTCTTTATACTCAATGGAGTCTTCAAATTACATCACAATATTTGGAGTGTGGCCAGGACTGCTTGCTGTTCATCTGCCATGCCTTCCTGTCATTGTTAAACTGTGGATTCACCTCCTTTTCTGGCTGACAGGGAGCACCTCCCTGAGCCCCTGAGTGCTCTCCCTAAAACAGAAAGGACAAGGCAAGGAGGAAGGTCTCAGTTCCAGGCTCCTGCTCCGGTTGGGTAGACTGCCTTGATATCTACAATCTGCTTATGTCACCTATGAGTGAAGTTTTCTAGAATGCTAGATGGCTCCTTTCGTTTTTAATGCAAACCAACTCAGGTTAGATCACACACACACATACAGACAGACAGACAGACAGACAGACAGACACACACACACACACACACACACACACACACACACACTGAATTAAAAATAATAATATTTTTTTCTTTAAGAAAGGATTTTTTCTTTATGTAGCTAGGCTGTCCTGGAACTCAAAATGTAGACAAGGCTGGTCCTCGAACACACAGATATCTGCCTGTCTCTGGCTCCAGAGTACTAGGATTAAAGATATGCACCACCACTGCCTGACAAATACTTTGTAAGTCTAGAAATTAGGTATTTAGATATGATACCCTACCTCAAACAAACACAGATAGTTAGATATGTGACTTAAAGCATTTAAACATTTGGTTTGTTACTTAAGAATAGTATTCTTTAGCAACTGGGAAATTAACCTGAAGAGTAAATTTTTTTTTTTTTTTGGTTTTTCGAGACAGGGTTTCTCTGTGTAGCTTTGGAGCCTATCCTGGCACCCTGGAGACCAGGCTGACCTCAAACTCACAGAGATCCACCTGCCTCTGCCTCCTGAGTGCTGGGATTAAAGGCGTGCACCATCAACGCCTGGCTAAGAGTAAATTTTTTAAGAAAATAAAGCTAATGATTTTAATTTAAATATAATTCCTAGAAATAGAGTGGTTCACTTAAGTCATAATCATTTTCCTTCAACATACAAGTTTCAGTCTCATCCAACTGCACTTGCTTCTGAATTTCTCTTTGCTTATGATTGTCTCCTCAAACCTCAGTGGCTTTGGGGTTTTATTTTTCAGTTTTGGAGACTGTTCCTTGGTTTCCAAAGAAGATTTCTGACCTGGACTTCTGTGCCAACAGAGTGCTGATGTATGGTTCCGAACTCGACGCGGATCATCCTGTAAATATTTTTTAAAAATAGTCTAGTAAAAATACTTTAAGGCGTACTAAAAATTAAGGGTAATTTTAAAACTTTCTTAAAAAAGATTAAAACTTTTAAAAAGGATTTATTTATTTTAATTTTATGTGTATGGGTGTTTTTCCTGCATGTGTCTGTGCCTGAAGTGTCCCTGGAAGCCAGAAGAGGGCAGTGAATCCTCTGGAAATTGAGTTACGCATGGTTGTGTGACACCATGTGGGTGTTGGGAACCTAACCCTGGATCCTCAAGGACAACCATTGCTCTTAACTGCTAAGTCATCTCCCTAGGATCTAGAGGCAGCTTCTATTTTTTAGACCTGCTAATAGCATATGTTAGTTATATAAACTACTGAGTTTCATTGTGTTATTTCATGCGTATATAAGACACTTTAACTAAACTCACTTCAATTGCCCTGTTTTGTTCCTTCCCTCAAATAGCAAGGGCAATTTTTTTGTGAGAAAATACATTTTCTCAACTAGATAGAATTTGTTGGTATAGGAATTTCAGGTATCAGCATCAGCCCTCCACAGAAGTAGAGTAGAAGTGAGTCAGTGGACAGGAGAGTATCCAGCTTCACTAGCTGGGATATCTGCCCTGTTCCTTGTATTCCCTTATTAAGATATCCCCAGAGCTGTGCAGCTGATTGTGTCTGTAGTCAGTTCCTACCAAAATGGACTTGGGTGTTTGAAATACAATAATGGTGTTTCAGAAAAACCCTACCACCCTGCTGCCCAGTTGATTGACTGATTAGGCAGCTGATGACGCAAGAAGTTGTTTTCTTGGAGAATTTTACAGTACAGCCATGAGCTCGAGTGTTGGAGTCCAGAGCATTGGACTTGTGTTTGAATGTCTAGGTTCTTGGGAGGGATGAAGAGGAGAGAATGCAATCGTGGAGTCTCAGGTCTGGCCTATGCATTAGCGCCTCCTGCTTTCTAAGCTGCAGGAATATGGCCATATAACACTCTCCATAGATATCCTCCAGAGGACCTATCTGTTTACCAGATTACCTTACCAAATGACTCTTGCAATGAGATGGGCTGCTTACCCTAAAGGAGCTTGCAGCCTAGTTGAGAATGAGCATGTATTAGCATATTGCAAGATATAAGGTACAAAGTGGACCAGATGACATTAACAAGTTGAACATACACACAAGAGAGCAAATGCTTCCGGCTGAAGCCATCAGAGAAAAGTGATATTTCAACTGGATCCCAAAAGATTTCAGTAGGTGAGAGATGGAAAGAAAGGGCAGTTGGGGGTGGAGCACAATCTGAGCAAAGGTTCTGAGGCAAGAAAGCGTGGGGATGTGAACAGAAAGATGAAATGCCAGTACTGTAAGATGTCTACCACTAAGGATATTCATCTTCATGCCTTTAAATTTTGCTTCATCATTTATTATGATGACCACATCTCTCAGCAGGTTTCCCTGCCTTCAGCCTTGCCACCTTCACACACATGCTCAAAACCATTAGAATGTAAGCCTCAGTATGGCCACTTTCTCTCTTCTTCTATACATCACCAGTGAGACCATGTCTCACAAAACAAATGGAAATGGGCATGAAATACCATGCTACCACACGATTGAACCTTGGATGAAGCTGGTTACAAAAGGCCCTATGTTTATGATTCCATTTATTGAAGCATCTAGAAGAGGCAAATTCACAAGGACAGAGACAGAGATTAGATAACTGAGCGGCAGGGGCTAGGTTTGGGAGGAAAATGAGGAAGAGATGGTTAGTATGATGTTTCTTTTTGAGATAACACAATTTTTCTGAAACCAGATGGTACAGTCTATGGCCATACCATCCTGAACACACCCAATCTGGTCTGAAATTATAGGGTAAGGATGGTCACTGGGCACAGTGGCAGATGCCTGTTGTCTCAACCACTTGCAAGCCAAAGGTGGGAGGATTACAAGTTTTACGATTAGCCTGGGCAACATGGCAAGATGTTGTCTTAAAATAAAAAACAAACAAAAAGTATGGTCATGGTTCCTATGAATGGCTGTTTCATGGCATATGAGCTGTATCTCAGTATAGCTGTTAGTCTAAGAGCACCATTATAGCCCTGCAGTCAAAATCCAAGCTCCTTATATGACCTACAACCATGAGCTAGTCTTCAACATGATCCATGCACTGTGAAAGTGCCAGAAACATGGCATGGCTTGCATTTTTGTATCCTGAACATGTTTTCCTTCTCTGTGCAAGTTCTTGTGCCCCCTCTGTCCTCCACCAGCCCTCTCCACATGGCAGACACAGCTTGGGGATCAGCGCTGGCAAGTTTAGTTCAGTTAAGTCATTATTTTAAGTTTTACTTCCTATTTTAGTATTATTTACAGTACTGGGTCTCAAGTGTCCTAGACAGACTATTGCTGAATGACACCTCAGTCTTTATTATCAATTTCTGCCGTAGGTAGACATAACTGAAGGCATAGTCAAGTGATTAAAGAAAAGGAAACAAGAGCTATGTGCTTAACTTGGATGACATTCTTTAGTCATCTTTGTAGTCACTGTAGGATCTTTGTACAAAAAGTATTATTTCCTTTGTATCCACAGGATGATAAAACTGTCATGTAACTCCAGACTTCAAAATAAAAATGGTCACATATCTCTAAGCATTGCTTTTTTGTGATAACAATTATGTAGTTTTTCAGTATCTCCAGTCAAAACAATGAAATGTTTTCTAAATGGCATTTCCAAGTACTTTTAGTTTCAATATTTAATTACTTTTAATTATCAGGGCTTCAAAGATAATGTCTACCGTAGAAGACGAAAGTATTTTGCAGAGTTGGCTATGAACTACAAACAGTAAGTATATTACAAACCAACATAACTAACTTTGAGATAACAAAATAAAGGAATAAGCTGTGTTTATAGTAAATACAAAGTCAAATAAGTGTAACTACCTAAATACAATGCAGAATTCCTCATCTTGATCTCATTAGTGGGGATCCCATTCCCAAGATTGAATTTACGGAAGAAGAGATTAAGACTTGGGGAACCATCTTCCGAGAGCTGAACAAACTGTACCCGACACACGCCTGCAGGGAGTACCTCAGAAACCTTCCTCTGCTCTCGAAATACTGTGACTATCGTGAAGACAACATCCCACAACTGGAAGATGTCTCCAACTTTTTAAAAGGTAATAAGCCAACAGAGCTGTAAGGGAGGGTTTGATATGTTTCAACTATGACAGTTGTCTGTAGAGGAATGAAGTCTAGTTACATGGGGTGTCCAGAGTCTCCTGAACTCATCCTGGAGTATTGGATCCAGGCCAGGGCACCACATTGCAAAGACAGTCCACATACCTTACTTAGGGCATGACAAAGTGAGCTGAACTGCAAGGGAATTTGAAAACATGTCACATGAGTAAAATCTGTAAGACACTTTGTGTGTTAACTTGGGGATAAAGAAGAAGTTTGCTAAATGTTAAAACATTTGACAAATTGGAATAGATTTCATAGAGTAGAGAGATCACTATATGACCCTTAAAGAAAATGGAGACCTTATTAGAAGAGCCATGTGAAACCAGGCATGTAAAGTGATTAGTGTTCATCAGTGAGGGTGTCTGTACCAGACCTTTGCACCTGCTTTCGGGGATGTAGAGGAGACAGGGCATCTGCACAGTCTCTGATGCTGGGTCGTCACTGACACTAGGTCTCTGATGCTGAGGGCAGCTGATACTAAGGGGGTCTTTGATGTTTGGGGAGTCTCTGGTGGCTGAAGGATTTCTTGAGCCTTTTTCCACACTAAGATTCTATGATTTTTGCAAGATAGAAGTGTGTGGAACTAGAAGAAGAAACAAAAGGTAAAGACAGTTTTGTTTGATTGAGGCCTCTATTTTCTCTAGCTGGTGTGAAGAGTAAAATGATCCAGACTCTGCTGTGCTTAAGAAAAATCAGTATCTCTCTGTGTCTCAGCAATTCGGAGACTGTGTTAAGAAGTGCTGCTTTGCAGTGCTGGGGACTCAGTACTGGGTCTCAGGGACACTAGGCAAGAACTCCTCTCTGAGCTCAGTACAGGGTCTCAGGGACACTAGGCAAGAGCTCCTCTCTGAGCTGTCCCCCCAGCCCAGAAGTTATGATTTTGGTTCATATTATTAATCTTTCTTTCCAGGCTTAAAGTGTTGTCTGAGTTTCTTACACAAAAACTATGCATAAAAACCTAAAGGGGACCAGGAGGTGGTGGTGGCACATGCCTTTAATCCCAGCACTCAGGAGGCAGAGGCAGTCGGATCTCAAAGTTCAAGGGCCAGCCTGATCTACAGAGTGTGTTCCAGGACAGGCTCCAAAGCTACACAGAGAAACCCTGTCTCGAAAAACAGCAAAACAAAACAAAACAACAATAACAAAAACCTAAAGGGACTGAACAGGAAAACACAGCATCATTTCATGAGGACAGAAATAATGTATGTGTTTCCTATGAAAAACTAAGCTTTTAGCACATGGTGCAGAAGCAGTATGGGTCCTCACTGGACTCACAGCTGCATGAGTATGTGTCACAGGTGTTGTTCAGTCAGGCTTACAGGAAACACGTTGTGGATATAAAACTGAGAGCTGTTCTGCTTGGGTCTGGAAATGAGCTGGCCACAGAGCCATTTTACTGTTGCAAGGGCAAATGTCAGAGAAACCAAAATTAGAGGACAATTCACATGGAATGTCAGATGAGGATACCAATACTGTCAAACATCGTGGCCATTGGATACATGTTGTTTTTTTATGCTGTAAACAATAAAGTGTACTTCATCAAAGTATTAGGGCCTTGGCCACACCAGCCACATATTAAATGCTCAGTAGTGACATATGGCTATTGACCTCTGGGCAGCACAGTAGGGAGCATTTCCATCCAGGAATGTGGAAGACACGGTTGGATGGTCTTCTGCCTATCAGAGTGGAGGCAAACTTGCAGAGCAACTGGATGGAACTGGAATGCCAGCATGGTGAGGGTTTAGTGGGAGGTACAAGACAGAACACATAATGATCTCTTGGGCTGCTGAAGCCCAGTGGCCCATTTTCTAATACACAGAAGACAGTTTTGGCATTTGGGTGGAAGAGAACTATCCAGCTTAGCTGAAATAAAAAGAACTATAGAAGATAATAATGTCTAAACATAGCTTAGATTAAAAATGGCTATGATTGAAAAATAATTTTAAAATTAACTTCCAAAGTATCATATCAAGTAATAGGCTGCATTATGGTATTTTATACTTCTGTGCCATATGTCAGAGGCCATTGCCCTCCACTGCCCCTTTCTTCTGAACAGTGCCTCTTCTGCTGTCATGTCACATGAAATCTATTGTTCTCTCTTTTCCCTCAATCCCCCTCCCCTGAGATTCCTTCTCCCTCCTTGTAGTCCCCTTTCAGTTTCATGAGCTACACACAGAGAGACATAGACACACATACAGAGACACAGACACACACAGAGACACAGACACACATACAGACACAGACACACACAGAGACACAGACACAGACACACACAGAG